CAATATCTATTATAAAAAGTAATCCTTCTGTATACAACATATGAGGATAAAATGGAACATCAGAGTGCCAACAAATATAATAAACTGTTTAAGAGTATCAAAAATAATCCACTTTAGTTGTCTTCTGTGGTCATTCAGGCCCTTTCGGGGAGCAGATTGATTTGACCACTCTTAAAGTTTATGCTGTCTCTCTGATAGGTTTATTTTGGTTTTTCAGCCTAATGATGGCGTCCCTGAGTTGTACTGATATCTCTTTGGACCTCATACTGAAAATCCACTCAACAGCTACCAAACAAAAGCTCATCACTTGGAATCAACTCCTGGGTTTTTGAAGTAACAAAGGAAACAGGCCTTGCCTCGCTATGAAACTGCTTTTCTGACAACTGTCCAATTACTTCTGAGCACCAGACCTTAGCACATATGCTCAGCAAACAGAGAAGAAAAGACGAGTAGCAGCAAGAGCAGCAAAAACAGTCAGTAAACTCAGAATTAACCCATCAGCAGAGCAACAAAAGCCTATCTGCACCTGTGTGAGTGACTCAGTCTGACTGTACGGCTCACTGAGGGAAGTGAATCTCTTGGTGTGTGACAAAACCTGCTGTCACTTTATTTTACTCAGACTTTCAGCGTGCAGCTGCAGTAAAGCAGCTCCTGAAGGAGCAGAGAAGAGGAGGACAGACCTGAGATAAATGGAGATAATGTTTTTAAAACACCCATAAACTCCAACAGTCCTTGACACAAATATGTCAATGTGAAAAGCTGCACAGATATAAATCCGTAAAAGTGATTCATTGTTTAAGAAAAAAAAAAAATCCAAAAAAACCCCAAAAAGAAAACAAAAAAATAAATAAATCTGAAGGTTAGCATTAAAGGATTAATAGATCCAGGGGAAGGAGTTAGCTCACATCTCTGACCCTCAGAGCAATGATCCATCACTCTGAGTTTTTAAGCACAGAGAAGCTTATTCTGTCTGTGATATACATGCAAAATCTTTCTCAAATATGAATAAATCAGTTCCTCTGCTGAGCTCGGGCTGATGTGTAACGTGATACGATGCTGCCCATGCGTGCCCTTTCCGGCCTTCATACTTTTAGAGGAAGCACCGACAACATGACGCTGGCTGCCAAAACTCTCTGTCGACTGTCGCCCAGCTGGTTCACAACAATGTGAAACAGCAAGTGACAGTAATCAAGAGTTACAAGACCACACCACGCTATCTGTGCCACATCACACATGTAATAAACTCCACTCATACTCACAAATGTCCTTACTGTCTTTTGCAATCATTCAGTTAGAAGGTTACAAACACTTCTCTCAAAGAAGGCAAGACTTCATTTTGTGAAAAACCAGAGTGCGAGACAAAGAAATAAAGGACTGTTTTTGTCTTTATGCACCACTCAGATGTTATAATTAACAGGAAAAGGCTCAGTGGGTTGATTAAGAGTCACATTCCCACCAGTTTGTGCGGGTGGCGTGCTGTCATACTTTCACAACTCTTTTAGGGCTAAATATGGACAAAATAAACAGACAGCCCAGCTGTCAATCACTATTTCTGAGCTTTATTTTTCTTTATTTTTCTTGACATCAAATACGAAATGTCTCCATATGTTACAAGAAACACCAAGCATGGGAGCTAGGTGAATCCCTCCTCCAACCCTGTTTTCCTGAGGGCAGATCAAATGTGCACATCTAACCTCACTGCACAAGTAGCTTACTTCTGAGCCCACAGTGTTTGTTGTGTATCTACTGGCCTCAAACAGCTCTAAGCTATGGAGGAAATGTAAGTAATGTATTTGTACATCACTGCCAGCTACAATCTTTTGGGGTTTCACAGCTACTCAGACAAAATAAGATACATGAGGACACAATATGTCTGATTGATTCATTGGATTTTAATTTCATTTCACTTTCAGTGATTATAGTTATTGTCTTGTGTTGTAAATCAAGCGCACCTTTTCTTTTACAGAGGTGCATTTTCCCCTTTTCTTAAAAGCAGTTTAGTTCAGCTCAAGCAAACATAACAAAAGGGGACACCACCCCTAATTTTTCCATTTGCATCCTATTTAAATTTAAAGAACTCTAAAAAAGCCTGTTTTTAAAAGCTCAATAAGCTTGTTCACGTTAAATATTCAAGAATAAAATACTGAAAGAAGCAGTCCTGATTCTGGCCATGTTGGTGCAGCCCTGAGACATGACTTTGTATATAAAACCATATGTGGGAAATTATTATGAATGTGAATAAATGAGGGAATTAAAATCCACACTACCTGAGGCCTGTGCTGTGGGTTTTGTGGATTATGATGGCAGATCACTTTAAGGTCATGTCCTATGCTCACCACCATAACACCAGTATACATTTTTAGGTATTTGTCATGGATACAATAATGCTGCTGGGCATCAGCGTATCGATACAGGGACACCAAATACCAATATTTTATTAAATAAATGAAAATTTTCTGGGCATGCTATGAAAAAAAGGAGGGCTCAACTCATGCTTACATTAAATCAGCTCAACTGAAAAACCCTGGACACGCTTAGCTTCGATGATTAATCATAGCTAATTGCTGTATTATCAGAAACAGACTGCTTCAGAGTCCAGAGAAACAGAGTCCATCTTATGGTAACATTTATGGCAGGTTTGAATGACAGTGTTAGTGTGGACACATGAAACAGTATTGACAACGTTTAACTTTGACAATATATGACAACATGATAATATTGTATTGAGTATTGTGATACTCTCCTAGCATGGTGTCTGGTTATTCCCATGTCTGCTATCTAGTAACTAAAAAGAAAGCTGTTTAAACAAAGCTTTTAAAGAACGACTGAAAGGAAACTGTTGGTGACCGTAACAAACTTGTTTCACAGCTTGAGGCAACAACAACAACAAAAAAAAATGCAGTTGAGGCGATGAAGGCATGCGTACAGGAAATATTAGCAGCTGTTGAAAAGTAAACACAAGACTCCACCCAGCACTTGATAGCAGCACAGAAAGAGGAAACTGTGGATTAAATGGTGGAAAAGCAGGGTTTAACCGGACTGGTTAAAAAGCTCAAGCCAAGATAAGGTGGAGCTAAACTTAGGTCTTAAAATCCCAGGAAAAAAGACCACCTAGGATACGTTTGAGCTTACATTTGGCTCGTGCTGAATGTCTGGATATAATGTTTTTGTATAATTTGCTATTAACAATAAAATGCTGTTCAGGTTTTCTTTCACTATTTACTTTTAATATAAACCTTCATAATTATCATTATTGCAAATGTCTTCATTGGAGTTTCCATGGTAACTTCTGCTCCAGCCCTAACCTGCTCTGAAGCAGCTGATGTTTGATGTTTTTTAATGAATGTAGTGCTCTATAACCCTTAATGTCTGATCCTAAAACAGGGCACCCATCCTTGTAGATCTTATGATAAATTTGCATGCAGTTTTTATATCTATTCTTCACTGTCAGAGCTTTAAACCCCACCACTGATGCAGCTGAACGGAATGAAATACTGGAGTACGCAATAATCTGTCAGCTCTTCCTTTGACTTAATGATAGAGCGCTCTAATACTGAGAAGTCTGCTCTGACTTCAAATAGGCTGAACTTTATTAATATAGCAGCTCTTCTCTCCAGTCTTACCGCTCACACATTCATGCATCTCTTTTAAAATCCTACACTACTGAACAAGCACTCGCGCAGCACTGCAGCAGCTGTGTCGCCTTGTATTTAACTGTTTTTAACCTCTCCAAACCTTTCTGTGCCACCACCACCTCTCGTAGCTAAACTTACAAAACCCTGGTTGACCTGTGAAGCTGATAACCACGTTTGTGCAACACCTTAACCTGCACTGCTGTGCGACACTGCAAATTTTCCGTCTGCTACCAAGTAAATACAGGGTCAATACTGCTGTTACCAATACCAGTACCGATACTTTCCACAAACAAAGGCAGCTTATGTAGTGTGTCATGATTTATGAGATGAATCATTATCAATTTACACACGAAACTTAAGAGGACAAAGACAAAATATCGAACTTACCACACTAGTATCGATACCAATACCGACATAGTATCGATACTAAACGATTGTTGATCGATCCGCACACCCCTGCTGAATTCCAGTGTCACAGTAAAGTCTTTTACATGCGAATATTTAGTGCGCTAAAAATATTTTTCAGACAGTAAAATGAAACTATTTTACGCGAAACACAGAGCTAGAGCGTGAAATTAAATATGTAGGAAAGCGGGTCCAGGATCAAAACAAACTCTTCCCTGCTTGTGAGAATCGGATGAACCCAGCATCTCAGTTTCTTCCTCTTCTTGTCAATTTATGTGCATTTTTTACAGCAGATTTTTGTGTTTTGTATTTTGCTTACTGTATAAAGCCCTAAAGTGAAACCAGAAAGTAGGAACATATCCTGGGTATATATCCTGCTTTATAGTGCAGGCCACAGGTGCCATGCTCGTTGGTTCTAGTGGTTTAGGTCTGTGGTCTCTCTGATATTTGTTGCCTACTCACAGTCTGCAGATGGGAAAATGGGAAAGAGGAAGTAATCTGATCTGGGGTCAGTGAGGACGATGTTCCTGGCACATATTACAATCTGAAAAACGGCAGCAGAAGGTCAGGGTTTTAGAGCTGATCTGCGATGTGTTCCTCTCACATCCAGAACTCTTAAATGAACCCACAGTCAGGGTTGGGTTAGCAGTTGCTCTTGCTGTTCGTTTTCAACCACTGAAGCAAAGCTGGAAAATAAAAATGATGCAGCAGCAGCAGCAGCAGCAGCGGATCAGTCGTCAACATTTGCACCCATGAGACGATAACAGTTACCCATTTGTGTGTGTGTGTGTGTGTGTGTGTGTGTGTGTGTGTGCGTGTGCGTGTGTGTGTGTCCGTCCGTCAGTCCTCTGGGATCGGCATTAGAATAAAGCATGAATAATTTCTTCAGAGCGACAGAGCAGCTGTAGCCCTTTCACATGAAAATGAGCATTGCCCACGACCTCAACAGAGTACACCCACTTTCTCCCCCTCCCTCTCAGCCTCATCACCCTCACCATCCATTTTTCACTTCAATCAAGCTCAACTCTGGCTCGAAAAAGCTGCAAATGCCACAACTTCTCCTCAGCCCTACGAGCCAAAGAAACCCAGACAACAACAACAAGCTGACGTGTACATCTGTTAATCACGTTTTTGATATTTGCTGAAAACATCCTGGAATATTTGAGCTGACAGAGAGGGATGTTGAGTATGAAAGGAGAGTCAAAGCCTCACTCTGTGTTTTGTAGTGTGAAACTGCTTCTGGCTTGAGTCAGCACCCACTTCCTTCTGCTGTTTCAGGAAGTGTCTTTAAACAATCTGGCCCACCGCAGCAGCAGCTCTAAGTCTGGCCCCCTGATCACACTTAACAGCTGATATACTAGTCTTCCTACACTTCAGATTCCGACTAACAAATATCTCCTGAAGGTCTTTTAGACCTTTTTAGAACATAAAGGTTGGGTTTGTAGACATAAGATTAAATATAGTGAAGCCTGACTTGTTTAAACCAACCATCACACAGCTCTTTAATGAAATGAAACAACCACAGAAGTAAAACAGCACACAAACATCTCAGTTCACCAGTGACGAGAAAGTTGGCAGTCACATGTTGACAGGTGAAAACCTCTGTTTAGACACATTGGATACTGACTTGTCAGGGATACTTCCTTAACAGCCAAGATTCAAACAATACCTGATGATGGCTTTTCCAGCATAAAAGTAAGACGAGTACAGTTCCGGACATTAAATAAACACACAAAGGGTTACTGAAGACGGTAGAGCTTTCAAACGTGAACCAGTGAAGCTGCGGAGGCCTTTTCTGCTCAGGATTATGCTGCAACACAAAAAGATGCAGAAAAGAAGTGTCTTCAGCTTTGGAAGACTAGAAGAGAATGAAAGCAGAAGCGAGCTGGCAGTGTCAACTTGCGAGTCTCTCTTTGATGGAAACTGTAAGCACTGGTTCCTGCACCATAAAGGAAGTAATCACTGAAGACTTGCTGATGAAGAACAGAAGCCTTAAGCCAACAAACACAACACAGGGCTCTTAAAACATCTGCAAGCTCTGCCGCTTCAAAAGGAAATGACCTTCTAACTATTGTTGAATACAGCAATGCTGCAAAACACTACAAACACTGGGTGTGTATCTAACACCCGCCAATCTGCAGCCACTGTGGTAATGCCTGTTGAGAGGTGTGAGCAGGCAGTCATGACTTTTATAAATGGTAACAAAGACATCAAAACAAATTTGACTTTTTAAGCGTGTCCCCCACGTGACCCATACAGTCTCTTTTTAAGGTTCTCTGCAAAGAAACAAGTAGCTCCTTCCAACTATATATGGCCATTTAAATTTGTACTTGTATATTATCATCATCATCGTCATCTCTATCCCCTCCTCTACCACTGCTCTCTCTCCTCCCACATCGCTACCTCTTTCAATCCACTTTACCTCAAGCCTCATCTCCTCAACTGAAGTCAGGGCTCTAACACACGAAAATGTGCTTAAACATGCTCATTTACTCCCAATATTGACGCAGTTAATTACTGTCAGCAGATTAGAAATGCGACCCTCACATCTCCAGACAGCTGAGAAAAAGCTGGCTAAACAACAGCAGCTGGTTATCGGCAAACATGATATCAACTAATGTAACTAAAGTTAGGCTCGAGTGTCCTAACATTTCCCTTTGATAAACAGTTTGATTACATTTTATCATAGTATGAGAGTTTATTCACCAAGTGTCCGAGTGCAACAATGTTAAATCCACTTCAAAGCAAAGTTTCACTAATGCAGGCTAACAGCAGGTAACAGAGGCTAACAGCAGCAAAAACATCCACGCTTACCAACAGTAAAGTTTAAGACATCCTCAAAAATCCATCTCCATATTGCTGTCATCAGACATTAGTGAGCTTCGCCAACTCATCAACTTGTATTGGACTCCTGCCACAAAGTTTTACAGCCTCCTGCAAATAACATAGACGTGAACTCACATGGACAGCTGAGGCAGCCAGAGTTGTTAGTCCTACACTGACCACCATAGATTATGAACTTAAACTCGGAGGGGAAAGAAAACAACTCAGTTGACTGCAATCTCCAATCAACTGAGATCTAGTGGTGAGATTTTACCTACTGTGAACTATTTTATATTAAGTTGGCATTCGATACACCATTCCCAAATTCTGCTGTAGACTGGCTCTTTGGGGAAAGGGACAGGTCAACATATCTATTAAGGGCCATTCTGCTGTGCTTTGTTCAGAAAGTGAGATTCAAGATGAATTCTGTCTTTTAAAAACCCACCTAAAAAATACAAAACACAAAATCAAATGTGATATTTGGCACATTTGACAGCACTACAACACCAGGATGGTGGCATTTTGTCATTACTAAAAAGCAGCAAATCCATGTTTTTTCTTTGTCCTTAAAAGCCGTCAAAAACTCAGTCTTTTTAAGTTGGCTTGTGCTCTAATTGTGGCTTAAAATAAGATTTTAACATGAATTCAGAGACTGAACTGCCATTAAATTCATCATGTGGGCACAAACATCAGGGAGTTTTGAAACCACCTTTTGTTTTTTTACTAACTATTCTTCATTCTTTTCTCAATCACAGCCCTTTATCTACTTACTAAGTATGTTTGTAATGACACAGTAAAACTACCAGTCACACTTCAGCCATGAAAGCAACAGTTATCTAACATAAAATCTCTATGTGGTGAAGCTGACTTACAATTACTAGAAAATAAAACTTTCCACGGCTCTAATTGTGAAAACTGATACTCAGACTGCTGGCTTTATTTCACCGTCTTGTCCCTTGATTCAAAGCAACTTGTGAGTTGTGTGAAAAGTGAAATGCTTCAGTGCTTGCATGTGCAGGAAAAATTCATTTTGCTCATAATGGTGGAAAGAAAAACCGCTAATAAACAGTTCTACATGACCTTATCTGGTGCGAAGGAGAAGTAAGTCACTAATAATGAATCATCACAATGACACAAAAAAATGTCACCATGATGAAGGCGGCAAGACGGAGCACTAAGGCTGCTGTAGGCAAAAATAATATCAATAGGGTGGGCGTTGGAGGAAGGGGGTAGTAAAGAAGCCAATAAAGTAAGATATGCCAACATCCTGACTGGTTACTCACCTCAATGCCTTTTAAATAAAGCTCGTTGTCACCCTTTAAGACTAAGATTTCACTTCCCTGCAGACACATATGGACAGCTGTATATACCAAAAACACGGCATTGCTTATATTATCCTACCTCCTTTCTTGCTGGCATAAGGCTTTTTACACCAAGTTATCCAATGTAGGAGATGAATTCTTCCTTTCCCTCTACATATCACTGCGCATTTGATTTTCTTTCAAATCATTTACAAACAAGACACAAGCAGATAGCAACAGAACACATCACAAATTCATCATCCTCATCTAAGAAGTGTTGTTAGGCCCCGGTCACAAAAGAGTACGGCTCAGTCAGCAACCACCAGGCAACTACTAGTTGCTAAGGAAAAATGTGTATTACCGTTTGGCAAGTGGCTCCCTGAGGTTCCTGGCAGTCAATGGTTGAAATTGGATGTGAGGTAAAGTATGTGCTGCACAGAAACATCATTGAAATTGGTTGCTAGCAGACTGCTGCAGTTAGCCATAGTTTGCATGGTAGACGCCAACTTGTCTGCAAACAGTTGTCAACTGCAACAAGTGCAACACAAATCAGAAATGAAGAACATTCACCTTCCAACATCAGGGCCCTTTTAATGCCCTTAAAAGGGCCCTGATGCTCCCTTTTAAGCGCCTTGAGGCGACATTTGTTGTGATTTGGCGCTATATAAATAAAATTGAAATTGAATTGAATTTTAATGTGTTAAATGCAGCACTGAGGCCCCATCTCCAGTTTACACCAGTTTTAGATCTCCTCTGCAAGTAGTTGAGTGTTTGCAGACAAGTCTGCATCTTTCATACAAACTAAG